ATATATATATATATATATATATATATATATATATATATATTTGAGATAGTTACCACATTTTAGTCAATTTTAATCTGAGAGATATGCACAAGCAACATTGTACAAAAGAATTTTGCTCAGTTTATGCACAACTATTGCCTTGTTTGTGAAAATACGTCTGTGCACAGGTGCTCGGTTGTGCTAGTGGAGCCTGTAACACTTTATTCTTGTCTTTTTCTATTTTTGAAACGGTTTTTCTATGCCATGAATTACTGTGACTTGAAGATGGAGCCCAATAGTAAATTTATATTATTGTTGAAACTGTTTCAAACTTTGTATTAAAATGTTTTCAGTGGATTTGTACTGTTCATCACATTGGCAAATTGATTCGTTATCTCATGAATGAATCATAATCATTGTTGTGGGTGTTACACAGGCTTACAGATGGGCCTAAATAAAGCAGTCGGATAGGCTTTGGGTCTGAAGTGAAATTTTATATTTCTACTTGATTTAATTGGTACATTATTTATGCGTCTTTGGACTAACAATGATTAGGTTACTGGAGATGTAGTTAGTTCTTCATGTTTCAGGCTTTCACTGATGGTTAATCCCTTTTTACCCCGCGATATCTTCGTCTTTCAGTAATGCATAGGCGAACGCCTGTGATAACGTGGTAATGATCTACCTTCCGCGATAGACTACTTTTCAGCTTGATTGTCGGATAGTAACGGTGTCAAAGAGGCAAATAGGTAACAAGTATCATTAGAAAGTATTTAGCCAGTTGCAAGATCCCTTCCCTTACACATATGGATTGAATCTATCCTTGCTTTCCTCGAATCTCATGCAGGGCTTTTGTCCATTTGTCTACTGTTTTCGTGGTTGGTATTTACGTTGCCTACCTGCAACATTGACGCTTCNCGTCGATTATGAAGACACATCAAATTTCCGCGTCCAATCCTAACTCGTGGAAAAGTTGTCATTTTGTCTTCCTTACACTGCTTAACACTTATCCATAGGACTGAATCGACTGACTACTGGTTCTGACTGTTAAGGTCAGCACTTGCTGAATATCTAGCGCCTGTTTTGTACCGATACCTCCGTCCTCATTCATCTCTCCCTAGATGTTTTCCGATTGACTCAGCAAGGCCTTTGAATTCGGCTGTAATGTCCAAGGTCTTCAAAATGGACTATTTCCTTTGACCCCAGTTATTTTAGTGTTATTTTGCGGAGTCGATTTAGGCTGTTATCATAGTTGCCATGGTCGGTGTGCGATTAACGATCCCCGACACGGAATATCATTACGACCCGATAAAATTCCTATGTTTTTGAACTCTCACTACGAAAATCCTTGTTTTGAGGACATCTGTGCATAATAAATTCAAACGAATCGGTTTTGTTTGGGGGGGGGGGGGGGGNNNGAATTTGCACCAGATGATGTAATAAAGCACTTGTTCGATATGATCTGATATGAGATTAATAACATGAAATCCCTTCGCTTCGGTATCTGGTCTGTCTTTTCATCTACTTTTGAGGCCGCAACTCCGTGTTCGTTATCGTCCTTCACTGAGGTCATTTAGGATAGCGGAGCGACCGTTTTATCATGGCATGGATAGAATGCAAAACGATTAGAATTTGCAAATTTCGTGTACTGCATGTAATGAAAGCTGTGCCCTGTTTTGGGATGCTTTCGTTCGTTTGCTTTTACGTTTGTTCAATTTGGATCTGAGCCGGTTTTGTGTGATGGAACCATCGGTGGCAATGTTTTCCCCCTCGCACGCCCCATGTCCGCGCTTAAGGTACGTGAAGCGCTGCAGTCCCATGCTCTATTCCGAGTGTTTAAATCCCGCTTTCGGATGACAAAACACGATTTTGTGGACAAATTTCGCTTTGCAGTTGTTATATTTCCATCTGCTACTATGTTCACGTGTTGCTCATTCTCTAGAAATTCCGTCGAACAATAATGCATATAAAACTGAGATTATTTTGGAAATACATGCATGACATAAACAAATCATTTTGTATTTCGCTGGATTTCCAGCATTGTTGTGAATCATGTTTCCCGTTCGAGTGGTACGTTCTCCACATTTGTGTGTTGAACTTCACGGTTGATTCTAGGAAGAAGTGATGTTTTTTTTCATCACTAACCCTGCTGATTAAAACGTGGGTAAACTAAAACTAAATTGTTGTTTCTTTTGTTTTGAGTTCTGTGCATTTTTTGTGTGCAACGGTCGAAAGTTCACTTGCCTATGTCGCTTTCACAGTTGGATTGGCCTTATTTGAATATCATCGTAAGTGATTTTGGTAGTTGTTTTCGTTGCATGCTCGTGGAGACGGAACGCCCCAGTGAATCACACTGTCCCCCTATCGAGTCACGATCACTCGTGTCATTCAATAAAGCAATCCAGCACCAGTTCACTTTTTATACCAGTGCATGTATCGCACGGTCTCGTTTTGCTGTATCTCAGTGTATTCAGTTGAACAATGTAGCTGTTGCTTGTTGTGTTCTGTCTCTATCCAAAGCGCATTGGTATAACCTTGCTCGGAATCGAATAAAATTAGCGCATTGTCTTCTTGGTTCTTCTTCTTCTCCGGTCACACCGATAGGATGGGACCTCTACCTGTAGTTCGAATCCGGCTTGTTCAAGACGCAACGGATCGAATACCGCGGGGGCGGCAGCCCATTATTCCGCGGCTGCAACGCAAAAGCTTCCCGATTTGGAACGGGGCCGACGTACTGTGTTCCGTTCGCAACCGCTGCTTGTCTATCGTGGCCACGAGGGCGTTGTGACCGAAGTGGCCTGGTCGAAAAATTTGTTTCTTTTGGCCACTAGTATGGATCATCAAGTTCGCCTTTGGCATATCAGCCGTCGGGAATGTCTTTGTCTATTCAATCACAATGACACTGTTCCTACAATCGTGTTCCACCCGAAAGTAATTGGTTACGGTTCTTTTCAATATAAACACTACTCATCAGCATGGCCACCTCAAATATGTTCTGCTTTATTCCTTGCCACTAATGATATTGCTTTGAGAGGCGCGTTTCTCTCAATGTCGTGATTGAGTGACGTTCCACTATGGTGTACGGTATGTGATGCTGTTTAATGTGGTAATGTCCACAAATATGCGGAAAGAAAATTGTCCAGCGATAAGTACCCGGTAGACTTGATTCGTAAATGACTTGTGCATAATCTTTTTTCGGTAGTAGTAGTAATAGTAGAAGTCAAGTGAATTTTGACTGTTGATCGCGTGTCGCTAATTTGTGACTTTGTTTTGGGGTCCTCTCGCAATGTAATTACTACTGTTGTGAGATACTACTCATTTGTGAGTAGTGATTTATTTCAACGATCAAAAATCGACAAGATCACCGAGGACAATTTGCTGGGTCTTAAAGAATAACTATCGATTGCTACATTCACTATTCGTCGTGTGAACGGGAACTGCGATGGTATGTTTCTGATTAGATTTTTGTTGTTATGTATTCAAAATTATTGATGTCCCATTTGTGATCCCAATAAACGACTGTCCTAGACCAGCACCATCAAGTGGAATTATAACACTTCTACTGTAAACCGATTTTTTACTTCCACACTTATGACGTTATCTATATTCATCAATAATGCTGGTTCTTATAATATGCCAAATTCATTTGATGGTCATGTAGTCCTACTACAATCCCTAATTTTGACGCAATTCAGCCCTGGTTTGAACGCAATTTAAACGTTATATACCGTAGTCCGACAAAACTCCAATAAGATGGTTTGTTTTAGACGCAGTACATGTGAAAGAAGCACAAGAAGAACACCGGTTTGTGTATTATATGCAGCTTACTTTACTACGCTCATTGCTCTATTAATTGCATACAGACTCTCGTCTATGTTGAAGCTTATCACTGCAAAAATGTCCTTCACTCAGCTTACGGCTTAAATAAATTTGACCCTATCTAGGATGATCGTTTCTTTCTCTCCGGAAGTTTGGATGGCAAATTGCGCCTATGGAATATTCCAGACAAGAAAGTCCGCTTTTGGGTTGAAGTACCAATACCAAGCGCTCTACCTCTGCCTGCCAACGCTTCACCGGGCCCGTTTGCAGTGTCCAGCCTCTTTAAGTCCACACCACCTTCTACTCCACAAGTGCTTTCAGCTAGTGGACACTTACGAGCGGCGGGACCTAAGACAATCATAACAAGTGCCACGTTCGCCTGTGACGGTACAAAAGTGGTCGTAGGCACCTACGATGGACGAGTGATGTTTTTCAACAGTGAGGTGGGCGTAATTGTCATGAACTATTGTTATTCTCATTATTATTATTATTATTATTACTAATATTGTGATCATTATTATTCATAATGTTCCTTAAACATCCTAATTCCGACAAAATTTCGATTCGTGACAGTGAGTTTAGTAAAGATTTTCTATTTTGAACTAGAAGCACGAATCTATCTGGCATTAATTTTTTACCAACGGGTGCTCATACAGCGAACCTTTTTTGAATGTATTACATCCTAGATCGTCTACTACCCTTCTCACCAATTGTAATCGTATCTTATGCAAATTATTATTCTCCGGTGATTTGCCTCCTGCCACCCTTCCCCCAATCGCTGATGATGCCTGAACAATTGTATTCTTTTCGGAATGACCCGACGTTTGGTTTTGTGCTTACCTGTTTTTACTCCTCGTGAATTGCAGTTGACCTATATCACATTCATCGCCATCAAATCGAGCACCACAAAAGGTCGTCAGTGTCGTGTGACAGCCATCGAACTGGACCCCACCGATTCGAACAAGGTAAGTCATTACTGCTATTACTCCGTGATTTACTTCTAAGTCGAATTGTCACATCCGTGTCTTGTCATCATCACACTAGACCGATTTTGGCTAATACACGCTTGTAGAAGTAGACTGTTCCAATTGCGGAGTCAATGCGTCGCTCGGCGCTAGTTTTTTTACTCATAATGAAACGTGTAATTCGTTCGTGTTTGCGAGCACTCACTTATCCGGACTTCGAAGGGGTTGTGGCGCGTATCACATTACGATTGACGTCTTTCAACAGACATCGGTGAGCGATGTTTGCCGAGGAAGTTAGCGTTTTTAAAACGGTCAAGGGTGGTCAAGCTAACACCTGGAATGAGGGTATGAAAATCCTAACCAGGATTCTAGATCACATAGGCGTCGTTAGGCTCCCTGGCTGGGGACCTCGGGATGATGGTCATCGATGGTTAGAGACACTGAACGATATGGTTTGGTGGCGCTCGTGCATCCACTCATTATTCTTCCAACCTCAGTCTTTATGAATTCTCTATCTTCCACTTGAATTTGCTCTGAACATGCCACTCTTCGTTCTGTTCTTTTATCCAAATGGGGCACCAAAAGACATCAACTTAAACTGGCGCACGAAAGCGCATGATAATGATTGTAAACACTGAACTGAAATTTGTTCTGAAGGTACCCCCAAAAGGGTCGCTCAAACCGTGTCATACGTGCCGCTTCATTTATTCCATCACATTCTTTGTTCGATTTAGATTCTAGTGACGTCAAACGATTCTCGCTTGAGGTTAATTGATGCCCGGGACTATCACACCTTGTGCAAATATCGTGGCTTTGTGAATGAAACGAGCCAGATTCGTGCTTCGTTCAGGTAAGTCGTCGTGGTAAAGGAGCATCTCATACTCCTGAAGGTTCTCATCATCGGTCAAAATTGCGTCTCTGTTGTATTTGATTTCGCGCTTGTCGTTTTTCTACTTCATCACCTTTATTTTCGTTCGTTGCACCGAAAATTCTCCATACGCATATCTGATTTGTGACAACCGAGGCAGGGTAACCAAGTCGTGATACTGCGTTTACCTGAAATTACAATTCGTGGTCTGCGCAGAGTTGAAGTGAGCAATTTCCGTTGTCCGTCCAGTTGGCTGGGATTGCGTGCGGTCCGCCAAGAAGCCTTTCTGGATTCCAATTGAGCATTGAATTCTCTGGTGACTACTACGACGTCCGTTGATCGAACATTGGAGTAATTGAGAAAGATCCTTGTAGAATTCATCCTTCATTTCAGGTGTACTGCAGTTGGTCGGTGCATACATACTTATACGACGAACAAGCATCGACGCTTCGTTCTGTAGCTGTTGACTCGAACTGAACCGTTGAGACGCACAGCACGCAATCGGCTACTGACTGGAATCCAGTCAAGAAACGATCCCTCCGCCTTGGCACTTAGCGCAACCCCAGCACCAGCAACACCGCGAGCTTCGAATGTCGAATCGCCTGGCACACGGAGGGTGAAGCGTGAGGTTGAGGTTGGATCAGGAGAACGCAGGAAGATAATGGAAGTGGGGTCTTGTATGCGTGTTTCGGAGACACGGCATACATTTAAATNCATTTAAATTGAAAGTTTCGAGGGTTCTAGTCAAGACAGCTTGTTGGCCAATCTGACAGAGCGTGCGGACATCAAACGCGGCTAAGTGAGAAGGAAATTTCGGCTTCAAAAATCCTGTAACTTCTGATTGTTTGGTCTTGTTGGTAAAACGCTGGGCGATATCCGATGAGTCTGGTGTTTGGGATTATTTAGGATTGAGAAGAAGAACTAGAACGATGGAACTGAGGGTTTTCAAATGGGTGCCTAAGACTTAAGGGTACGACATAATTCGCGGTAGCCCACACCGGCGAAGGGATTTTTCTTTCGGAACCCTAACCGAAGTCTTTGACTCAAAAGTTTGACCCGCAAGGCAGCGGGAACAGTTGCATAGTTCGGTCCTATCGACAAAGTCGAAGGCCCCGCGAATGTCTAAAAATGCCATGATCGTTGGTCTTTGGTAGGCATGATGGTGCTCTAGCAGCTATCGGAGGGTGAAGATTTGATCGATGCATCTACGACCGGCACGAAACCCAACCTGTCTCTCACGGGTCTGCGTGCAACACCAGGGTTTCCTAACAATTAAACGACACTCTAGATGAACTAAGTGTTTGTACCAGACTGGCAGGAGCCTATGCCTTCTTCTCAATCACTGTGATGATCATCTGGAAGTGGTTGAGAGCTTTAAGTACCTCGGGAGCTTGAGCGCAGCTGGTGTTGGTGTTGCGGAGGAGATCACATCGCGAACAGCGACAGCTAGAGAAGCTTTCTCCAACCTGTGATGTCTCCATGACGTCCCACTGTCCCTGAGCGGAAGAGTGTACATCGCCGGGGTTTGTAGCATTCTACTTTACGGTTGAGAGACCTGGCCTCTTCTCGTTGAGGATGCCAATCGGCTTTCTATATTCGATCACCGATGTCTCCGTAGCATTGCTCATGTCTGGTCGGAACATCGGGTGAGCAATAATGAGGTTCGTTGTCGTGTGTTGGGTGTGGATAGTCGCTTTCTAGCAGAAGTAATCGGTCTACATCCTTCCAATAGCTTGGTTACGTATTGCGTATGCCATGCCCATCAATTACCTTTTCGTGCTCTTTGCACGTGCTGAGCAAGATTGAAAGAAGCGCCTCGGCTGTTACCATAGTATGGCGTGGAGGTATGAAGAAGCCGGTCTCAGATTTGGCTTCGGCTGGTGCAGCCCGCATTCCAGATTGGAGCCCAAGGGATGAGGACTATCGTTAATTACAGACGCTAAGAGATGTGGCCCGGAATAGAAGTCAGTGGCGCGAATGTTCTGCGGTCTGCCTATTGAAATCCTGCGACTCATTAAAATAACGATAGACTTACGCAGAAAAATATCAAAAAATGTACGGTGAAACAAGCAAAAAATTGTTCTTCCCGTTATTCAGCTTAACCGTCCAATCACATCTTACTGTGCTTTATACACCGCGTCCCCCCCCATGTTCTGTTATTCTTGTCGTTTCGTTGGCACCAAGGTTACTCGCAAGCCGGTTGAATTCGTTTGGATTTCCAAACAGACATTCGCTGATCATACCCCAAACCGCATGCTCCTTTCCCCAGCCATCTTTCGTTACCTCTTGATTTGTGTCATTTCGCCCCTTTTCTAACTGGACCTGCTACACCTGCGTTGACCCAGTGCTTCTATTGATCCGTCCGTCTGTGTTCTCTCACCAGTGACCCGTATCGCATTCGTATTTACTTGTTTACTCCCACCACTCCACGCTCTCCTTATTCGTTCGTTCGTGACCCGGTAGGCATCTGCTGAGCGACAGACACACATGGATGCCCATACCAGTTCATTGTTCCCGTTCCTCACGTGATTGGTATTTTGATCCCGCACATTTGATTGGCTGGCTGTCAGTAGTTAAACCCTTGTGCACCTGTATTTGCCATCTAATACATTCTAACCGTTGACTTTGACTGAACCGCACCCANCGCACCCACAATCGTTGAGTTGAGCGCTTTGAAAACCTTTGAAGGATTTTTTAGTATGTCCTAATCGTAAATCTCAACTCTTTTAATGAAGACGCACTACTGTTTGATTGTACCTTGACAGTGCAAACGCGCACTCGCCGAGTTGCCTCACAATTCGAGGTTTGTATTTATTCTATATTAACCATTCGTTGTCTATAATAGTGCCGCATTTCAATTTCGTCTTCTGTTAACCTCGGGGATTTCACGTCACTCGATCGTTAGAACAGATTATCTGTGTGTAATCCACAGAATCTTCTCAAGAGATTCTACAACATAAATATGTGTACTATATGTATACTATATATATATAGTATAGTATAGTATAGTATGTATACTAGATGAACTATAGGACTACGCTGTGTCCATATTCCGTTTGGCCAATTTGATGAGTGTTTCGTGTAAGCCTATTGCGAACTAGCGTTGGCAGATAGTGTTGTTTGTGGCCTATACATCAGCTTCCGTCCTCGGTTTGTTGTCTTTCTCTTGCTCTTTAACGAATTGATATTGTCTGGTCTCATTTATCTCCCCTTCCTCACTGTTCACTCGCTTAATCGAATTATTCTGTCACACCCGCACAGCCCTACTGGACGTTACCTCATTTCCGGATCAGAGAACGCGTTCTTCTATATTTGGCAAAAATCGCTTGAAGTGGATCGTATCTCACGTTTTTCCAGAGCACGAAAAGATCGCAACAGTTGTTGGGAAGCAATCAAAGCGCACGACACCATGGTCACAGTAGCCATTTTCTGTCCTAACCCGAATCTCGTACTGGACAAACACTTGCGACACGGTTGGGGTCCCGATGGATTTCCCGCATTCAACTATCCGGACACTCTAGGCAATACGCGATTGGACGAACTCCCGTGCAATGCTGATCCGAGGCATCCATTACCCTACTTAGGTGAACTTATTGTTTCGGCGGACTGCAATGGTTGTATTCGAGTGTTTAAAAAGATCTCCACAACTGACTCTCAATCTTCAGTGGGTGCGAATTCGAAAAACACTTAATGAAAAATACAAAGCACAGGTCATACGGAATATCTTCCTGCCTGTACAGAACATTCAACCTTACTTGTGAGCATCTCCAATTCCTCATTTATTCATCCGGTGCGTGTTTATCATTCTGCATCCCCTTGATTTGCACTTCCCTTCGTTTTTATGCACTTGTGTAGTTTTGCAATATCCCCAACCAATGGGGACGTGATTTCGTTAAATGGTGCCTAATGTACTTCTCAAATGATTAAAAAGTTACTATTTTTTATTATTCAGACAACTCTTGTGCAATATTTCGAAATTGGTTGTTTTCACCACTTGAACCAAGGGCAAATTCGTGAGATAATTGCCTCAGTTCGAGATAAACAGAGCCAATCACCTGCCCCCCTCCCTACTGGAAGCCTGTTCCATTGTGTCTCCGACCGCATTAAACCTTATTCATTCCAATGGGGACCATATTTTGTCCGTCTTTCGGAACATAAACTTTCTAATTCCAGTTGATGCTCATCCCTCCCACCCATCCGCATCACGCGGTGTGTCATTTATTCGGCGGTTCAGGTTCGATTTTCTACAACCAGTGACCCTTCACTCTTGTTCGTTGTTGTCTTTTGCTATGTTGCACGTGTTCATCCGATTGACGGGGGATAATTTGATCAAAAAAAGTTGAATGTTGAGAAATCAAAAAAGAATATGCACAAAGAAGTGCATAACGTAAAAAATTATTTCTTTTTGGGTAACTTTTTATTGCCACTTCGCGTGTATGGTCTTCAGTAGTTGAACAAACAAACTAGGAAGCCAAATATGATACGCATAACCAAACACACAAATTAAGGTGCTCATTTCTTTAAAACGTGTCGCGATGCAATAGTGTACGGATGCATCTAAAGGAAGAGTAGATTCCGTTTGATTTAAAGAATATTATCCGTTTTATTTAGTTCTTACCTTTCGAATCGCGGAAAAGTCTTTTTTTCACATGAGAAGCATTTTTCACGACGGTTTGGCATGCCTCAGTATGGTCGAGGCTGGGAGTCTTGAGTTGCGACTGGTTATCCCTCCGTTGCACCTCGTGAAAAGCTCCCATACTATAATGTTTCTATGTGTCTCTGTTGAGTAAAACCCTACTCACTGCCTTCACTTTTTGGCGGCTTTTCCCACCAAAGTTAGACAAAAAAAGCCGAAATTCGCAAGCAATAAACGTATCGGTGAATCCCGGGGCCAACAACCACCTCAGTTACAAACCAAACAAGTCAAAGCGTACAAACCACACCCACACTTGTTTCTATCTATGGTTACCGACTTAATTGGACATCAAGATTTATCGGTCGATTCTGTCCAAATTTCGTATAATCCGATTAACTGGGCATCGCCTCGTAATGGATTGTGAATCTCCCGAGACTAACCCATTCAGCTATGAGCAAATCATGAACTGGTTTGTTTGTTGTAACGGTTGTTTTGCTGTGATTTGCTTGACACAGTTTGTATTGTATTGTAGGTGACTTGTGCATGCAACTATGTCTACATTTCACTCAAAAATAAAATGTGTTCACCGTTAAAATGGGGGAAAAAGTGAAATGAAAATTTATATGCAACAATAGGAAAACTTGTAGGTTTAAAATTAGTTCGTTTCGGTGAGAATACGAGTCAAATAGGGACTCAGATACGTGCGGAATAGAATAGGAAGTTTCATCGCATGCAGGTTTCTGATAGTTCAGATGCGATGCAATTTGCTAAAATCCAGTACGGTGATGGGGCCCTCAACGGTTAGCCGCAGCCATTAGTCTGATTCAGGAGGAATCCAATGAAAGGTCAAATCCGGGGTCGTGGTCGAATTAATCGAAAACGAGCTTCTTGAGACTTCTAGCACGAAACCGTCAGGCGTTGACCACTGGCCCGTTTTTCGAAACTCACGCCCAATTATTCAACCTAATGAATCAAGTACCTAGTGAACCGGACAACATGGAAGCAGTGGTTTTCGAAAACTTCTGTGTCAGCTAAGCAAGAATTTCGACCGGCAAACCGTTTCTCGTTTCTTTTTGATTGAGTACCTTAATTAGGTGCAACTGTGACTAACCACAAAAAAACAACAACCAATTATGGTGTAACTGGTCAATCCGATGAAGATGACCTTCATTTGTCCTCTGCCTTTTGGTATTACATGCATGGATGAATGATCTTCAGAAAGCCTGTCGGGTATATCAGAATCTGTCGTAACTCGTTAAGATCTAGTCATGTTGTAGTGGGAACTGCTGAGATTTCAAAGAAAGGGGCTCTGCGAGAAGCTGATCACACGTGTTCTAACCCACAGGTCTCCAATACCATCGTGATATGTAGGACCAGTAAATACAATTGACCGTAGTCGTTTGTTGTAGGCGACTAATGTTACTAAACGTACGGTAGCAGATCGCACTGCTTGGTGTTCCTGGTACGGGTGCATTCCTTGAAATATGCTTTTTCCTTTGTCCGTTTCCCTAACAGTTTCAGTTTGAACAAATCATGAATCACGCAGTTTAATGCAATGGTTTTGGCTGCCCATTTGGATGAAGAATAGGAGAAGATAGGAAAGTTGACAGTAGAGTGGAACCGAAAAATAGGGAATTTCAGTGGACTAGTGTTGCAAGGGAATTTAGATGTACGAACGCCACTGTTTGCGACACCAAGTGTCTCTATCCATCGCTTACGATCATCCCGAGGTCCCCAATCAGGGAACCTAACGGGACCTATGTGACCCAAACTCCTGGATAGGGTATTCATACCCTCATGCCAGGTCTCAGCTTGACCACCCTTTTCCAACTGCTACCTGCCCCGGCAAACATCGCTCGCCATGGCAACCTATATTGCGATATGCGTAACACATGCCCCAACGTAATCTATGAAGGTCGACCATTTGCTCCAGTGGACAACCGCATTTACCTAAAATTGCGCCTAATCTCAGCAATGCTTGTCCGGCTGCCCCACCAGATTCGTGCAATTTTGCGTAGACTGTGGTGTTCAAACGCCCTATCAGAAGAGCACAAGCGGATCAAAATGATGGCGGACATCAATTTCGCGTGCTGTCATTCTACTGTAAATGAATGTTTAAGCAATCCTGTAAATAAAAAGACGAGTCGAAATTAATCAGTGGAACGGTGGTGGGTAAGTAAATTGAGAAATCCGTTTGGTTGCAGGTCAAAATCATGACAAAATTAGGTAACACCTAGTGTAAATGGTCTATTTATAAGGTGTTCAATTTGAGTGGTTCTGGTGATTGCTGTCGTCTTCTGGTAATGAAACAAGAATAACAGTTTCCTGATCAGTGTCTGCATGAACTTCGAACAAGCTAGAGAAAATGATATACGGAGAAAGTAGGAAAGAGTACTCATTAAATTTGGACACGGAGAAACCGTACGTTTCGAATTCTAGAAATCGGTTGCAATTCGGAAAACCTTCGGAATTTGCTGTTGTCTATTTTATCCGTCTTGTTAAACTGGGAACGGATGTGAGTTTAAGAGAAAAACTAGGGAGTGCCATTAGTATTTGGACATGGGAAGATGTATATACCGTGGATAGATGCACAAAGGACACTGCTTTTCGGTACTCAATGTTTCTGATCCTTGATTAGACTGATCCCGAGGCCCTTACCAGTGTGATGAAATCCATCGCTAAAAGTATATATATTTTCACGCCAAGTTGTCATGGTGACGCCTCTTCTTTCCTCATTGGTCGATTGGCTTTCTTGGATCAACTGTAAACCGGTTTCAAACTGCTTAGAATTGGTCCTGGGTCGGTTTTATCTGGGACAGCTTTGGATCACCAGTGGTTCCTTAGGTAATGATAGATGGGTTCCAGTTCTATATGTTTGTCTATGCAGTCCCTCGTGGAGTGCGATGGGTCGATGAATTCCCCCATTGCCTATGTGATTCCTCTTCCGTTGTCCAGTTCAAAGATGTGCTTATCGGCATCCGTGTGGATTGAGATTCAAGACTTCTCCTCGTGGCTTTTGACTGCCACTGAGTGTTCGTGTACTCGGGTCTTGAATTTTCTGCCGGTTTGGCCGATGTAGTATTTGTCACAGTCTCGACACTTTAATTTGTGTATGACGTTTGAGGAATCTTCTTTTGGCAGTTGGCTTTTTGGTCTTGACATATTGTATTGTATATAGATTGAGTCTCGGAAATGGCAGCTAGATCATTGCACCCATCAGGAATTTTGGTCGCACACAAGAAAACGGCAACAGAGAAGGCTATCCTGAGCCACAAAGTCATTGAAGCATAGCACTCCAGGAGGGACTGCATAGACAAACATATAGAAATGGAACCCATTTATCATTACCTAAGGAATCAACGGTGACCCGAAACTGTCGCAGCTAAAACCACAGTATGACAAGCGTAACCATGAACGCGAGTACAGTGAAGCTGTTTATCTCTATGGTTGGGTGTTGCTGCTGCATTATGCGAAACATGGTCTTTACGGAGTAGAAAATGGGCATCATTGTTTACTCCGCATTATTCCAGTCTGGTGTGATAACCGGCAAAGTAATACCGAAGTTAGGAGGTCACGTTTGCGCACCTGTTCGAGAGATCGACGGTCATTATTTGCGGTTACTGGGGCATGTCACAGATAACCTTCCTCGGTGTATGATATTTTTTCTTTTTCATTTTTTACTTCCTTTTTTATTGAATATACAAAGATACAATTTTCAGACATAGTAGTTGGCAGAAGGCTAACGCCAATCAGATCATCAAGCGGTGTAATGCAGTGAAAAGCTCGACTAGTCTCTTTGATCGTATAAGTCGTGTAGCACTCCCCATTTGAATTTCTCAGAATCAATATAACAAATGGTGACCGAGTGTCGAAGACAGAGGATCCCGTGCATCCGCTCGCCCTATCCACATGTCTTCCTTACTCGCTTCTGCGTCAGCTTTTCGTTTAAGTTCGCCCATCTTGATCAATGAATCGAAGACAGAAGGCGAAATTAATGCACCACTGCCCACAACGAAGCTACGTAACGCATATTACAACAGTAGAAATTTCTGGAA